CTCTGTTATGGACCAGTGTCGCACCATGCCCACAAAAAGACAAACATGGCTACCTAACCACTTCGTGGTCATTCAAATGGAAGATAATGATGATGATGAGGATCAGGACGATGATGTTATTAAAAAAAAAAACTTAGTGGGAAATGTCATAAAGTCCTTTGGTCACATAATATACAGCCTGTTGACTTACAATACTTAATTAATGTAGACCGTTGCCGACTGTCGCCGACCGTTGAGACCGTCATTTTCAACCGGCCGACACAATGTCCATCATTAGAAGTCCTGACCTTAGCTTGTGTCACAGAAAGGAACACCTGTGGTTCGAGCCTTTTGGACCAGTTGAACAAGTGGATTTATAACCCCCAAAAAAGTAAAAGTAAAGTAAGAACGGGTAAATTTTTAACTAAAGAGTAAAAGTAATGTAAAAAAAGGTAACGTTATCACTAAAAAGTAAAAATAAAGTAAGAACACATAAAAGTAAAATAAAGTAAGAACGGGTAGATTAATTACTACAATGTAAAAGTGAAGTAAGAACAATTAAATGTATAAGCAAAAAGTAAAAATAAAGTAAAAACAGGTAGGTTTATAAGCAAACAGTAAAAGTAAAGTAAAAACCTTTAAATTTATAACTAAAAAGTAAAGGTAAAGTAAGAACAGGTAAATTTATTTCGCCAGGTAGTAATCGGACGGAAAAACTATTGCAGTATTTACAATCAGCGGAGAATACAAACTAGTCAACGAATCAGAGAAAAGTTCAACTCAACCAAAGACACACACATGCTTTTGAGATGTATGTCTGTGCAGTGTTTTTATACTAGGCTGGTCAACTGTCCTATCAGGAAAGAGGGATAACGGAAAAAGGGGGGGGGGGGGAATTATCACACTATGTACTCTTTCCGGAGTGCTCCAAACGTACAAAGAAAAAAAACAACATAATTTCAACTCTGCTGTAAAATGATATATCACAATTAATTGATACGTTTATCCAGATCAAAGTCCCACTTCCACTTTCCCGTAGTGAGCACTGGAAAACAAATACACAGCAAATCTTCAGAATCGCAAATTTTATCTATTTTAAAAAAACTGCATTTGGTAAACTGACATAACTGACAAGGCAACCCGAAAAATCGATTCCAAAATTTAAAGGAGAAACCAGGGAACACAGCTGGTCCTAATTTTAAACGGGACCCCGTCTTTAACTGTTCCAAAAGGAACTTCGTCGTCACTGGCTCAAAACGACCACCCCCCCCCCCTTTCCACTTGCCCTTCCATGAGAACAAGACGCAGCCATTCTTAAGTTAAAATGTTAAAATTTTGTTAATCAGCTGAGAGTGTGGGAAGAAGAGGGGGGGGGGGGGAGGGGGATAAAACAAGAGGCTAGGGCGGCTCTCTTAAGAAATAATAAATGCTGTTTCTATTTTTTAACTCATTCGCACGTGTTGAATAGAAAACGATCTCTCGCTATGAATTATCGAATTGACATTTCCGACATTTTACACACTTGCAAATCTATCTGAAACGTTCCCTCTTTTTTTTTTTTTTTTTGGATCAATAAAGATAATTATTGTAAAAAAATGATGATGACAGCCATTAAAATGATGATGATCATCATCATCATCATCATCATCATCATCATCATCATCATCATCATCATCATCATCATCATCATCATCATATTCATAATAATGATAATGAAAACCATCGTCATAAATCTAAAATGAAAGAAAAAAATATGTGTGTTTGGTGGGGGGGGGGGCGGAGGCAACAAATCCTGCTGCCTCTTCCCGAAACTGATATATCATCATATGTAATTATAAACTAGAAATATATGTAGTTGACACAAGAAAATTCCAAGATGTACGCATTCCAAATAATAAATAGAGCTACATTCCATCTCTTTTCTCAGCCTAAAGCCGAAAACTTGGATCAGCCTTCTACGTCAGCGCCAGGGTCATCTGAAAGCCACCTCAGTGCTGAAAACTCTCGACCGCGGAAAAGAAAGCGAAGCACCACGCCTGAGCCACAAACTCCGTTAAGAGAAATCAATCCTCAAGACTCTTCGACAAACGCTCGCCTTGCTGCTCCAGACGACTGCCCTGAAGTCAACAGCAGCCCCATTTCAGCATCACAATCGTCACAATCGGCAGACAAGTTGACAATCTCTGAGATGAGAATGCAGGACCCTGGCCCGTCATGCTCGACGGGGGGAGGAAAACGTCAATGTAACACTGCTGGACCATCACATGAACGTAACCCCGCTGCACCATCACATGAACGTAACCCCGATGGACCATCACGCAAACGTAACCCCGCTGGACCATCACGCGAACGTAACCCCGCTGGACCATCACGTGAATGTAACCCCGCTACACCATCACGTGAATGTAACCCCGATGGACCTTCACGCGAACGTAACCCCGCTGGACCTAAACGTGAACGTAACACCGCTGGAGCATCACGTGAACGTAGCCCCGTTGGACCTACACGTGAACGTGACCCCGCTGGACCATCACGCGAACGTAACCCCGATGAACTTACACATGAACGTAACCCCGCTGGACCATCACGTGAACGTAACCCCGCCAGACCATCACGTGAATGTAACCCTTCTGGATCATCACGTGAATGTAACCCTTCTGGATCATCACGTGAATGTAACCCTTCTGGATCATCACGTGAAAGTAACTCTTCTGGACAATCACGCGAACGTAACCCTTCTGGACCATCACGTGAACGTAACCCTTCTGGACCTTCACGTGAACGTAACCCCGCTGGACCATCACGTGAATGTAACCCCGCTGGACCTACACGTGAACGTAACCGCGCTGGACCTTCACGTGAACGTAACCCCGATAAACTTACACATGAACGTAACCCCGCTGGACCATCACGTGAACGTAACCCCGTCGGACCATCACGTGAATGTAACCCTTCTGGGTCATCACGTGAATGTAACCCTTCTGGATCATCACGTGAATGTAACCCTTCTGGATCATCACGTGAATGTAACCCTTCTGGATCATCACGTGAAAGTAACTCTTCTGGACCATCACGCGAACGTAACCCTTCTGGACCATCACGCGAACGTAACCTTTCTGGACCATCACGCGAACGTAACCCTTCTGGACCTTCACGTGAACGTAACCCCGCTGGACCATCACGTGAATGTAACCCCGCTGGACCTACACGTGAACGTAACCCCGCTGGACCTTCACGTGAACGTAACCCCGCTGACCCCGCTGGACCATCACGCGAACGTAACCCCGCTGGACCTACACGTGAACGTAACCCCGCTGGACCTTCACGTGAACGTAACCCCGCTGGACCATCACGTGAATGTAACCCCGCTGGACCTACACGTGAATGTAACCCCGCTGGACCTTCACGTGAACGTAACCCCGCTGACCCCGCTGGACCATCACGCGAACGTAACCCCGCTGGACCTACACGTGAACGTAACCCCGCTGGACCTACACGCGAACGTAACCCCGCTGGATCATCACGTGAACGTAACCCCGCTGGATCATCACGTGAACGTAACCCCGCTGGATCATCACGTGAACGTAACCCCGCTGGACCATCACGCGAACGTAACCCCGCTGGACCATCACGCGAACGTAACCCCGCTAGACCCTCTCGGGAAAGTAACCCTTCTGGAACTACACGGGACTGTAACCCTTCTGGATCTACAGGATCGTCTGCAACAAGTAGTCAGAAAAACGTGGATGATCACGAATTCAAGAGGCCTCTGCACCCATTAAGGTGGCGGCGCCTTCTCATCCACAGACGTCGCGAACATAACAACAGCACTCTCGAGAACGGAAGCCGAAGTGCCGTGGAGCGCACCCAGCCAGATGATGTACCGTCGAGGGGAAGAGAACTGGACTTGGACAGGGTGAGAAATTACATTAATTTGTTTCTTTTTAGTTTTTGTGTGTGTGTGTGTTTGTTTGTTTTTTTGTGGGGTTTTTTTTTTGGGGGGGGGGGGTTCTGTTAATTCTCTTGTTCACCTTTCTCTCTCTCCCTCTTCTATATCACCCTTCTCTCTCTCTCTCTCTCTCTCTCTCTCTCTCTCTCTCTCTCTCTCTCTCTCTCTCTCTCTCTCTCTCTCTCTCTCTCTCTCTCTCTCTCTCTCTCTCTCTCTCTCTCCCTCTTCTATATCACTCTCTCTCTCTGTCTCTCTCCCTCTTTCTCTAAAATTATCTATCTATCTATCTATCTATCTATCTATCTATCTATCTATCTATCGACTCGCCAAGAAAAAGTCATTTGTTAGTTCATTTGCTTTCTACTTACACTCTGCTTTTTGGAGAGCATATATATAGATCTATATATAATTTTATCTAACTGAATCGATATCGTCACGGTCAAAAGTACGTGGCTCTGAGAGAGCTCGGATTTGATAGTTTGTTGTTGTTGTTTGGTTTTTGTTTTTCGAAAATGCGGGTTTTGTTGTTGAAACAGTTGTCTACAGTTTTGAGAAAATAGCATCGGACAATTGAAAGACAAGCCAGTATACTAATAGATATTGTTTAAACTGCCTCGCCTTCTACCAAACTTACCTTCTTGCCTGTGGTTGTGCGTGCAGTTCATATTTAATAATCAATTTCTGTTTGACATGAGACTTAAAACATACACAATACACTAGAAAATGAAGATCTGGATGAAATGAATGACGGGTTTTCCATCAGCTCTTCTTAAAAGAAACATAATATCCTTCTACATGCTACACAAGAACACTACTTTAAAAAACACGAACATAATGTGCTTATGCAAACGTGTGATGATTTATTGAACAAATTCACCAAAGTAAACCTGCAAGCCTCATAAATAAGCGTTTAAGGTTTGCCCTAACGCTCGTTTTGGGGACATCAAGTAGGGACTCCTGTTTTAAAAAAAAAAAAAAAAAAACTCACAAAAAAAACATATGCTGTGGAGAATGTTTTAAAAGAAAGAAAGAAAGAAAGAAAGAAAGAAAGAAATATGTTACTTCACTTTGATAGCGTATTGGTAAGTTACTATAGCCCCAACTGAAGATGGTTACAACTACTGGTTAATAGTCAGTTGTTTAGATCATGTTAGTCCTACATTCCACTGCTCTTTAGAGTCAAGAGGTGGGCACCCTCTGCCATGCTGGATAAATGGAGTCATCTTCACAGTGTTACCGAAGGTTCCGAAAGTTTGCACGAAGTCTCATACTATGGTTGTGACATTGTCAGTACATGTATTAGTACCTAACTACTGGGCCAAGACGAGTGGTAAGAGGGGAATAGATAAGAACACAAATTTCTCTCGAATAGGGGTTGTGTATTTGTATTTGCTTGTGTATTTTTAATCTCTTCTTAATATTTGTGCACTTAAGTTGATTTTAATTGAACATACCCTGTTTAGCACACTTTTGTCTCATGGGTTGTGTGTTTACGCTAAGACTAACAGCTAATTTTCAAATCCAAAATGCTGCACATTTTGTCGGACTACTAAAACACAAAAGCGCCAGAACATAGAATTGGGCAGGGTTAAAAAAAAACCCTCATATACTGTGCTTATTTACATATATTATTAATTGAACAAATTCACCAAAGTAAACCTGCAATCCTCATAAATAAGCTTTCAAGTTTGCCCTAACCGCTGGGTGTGGGGACTTCAAGTATGTACAGGGAATCCCACAAAGTAAACATAAGAAATGAAAAGTACTAGCTTTTTCATCTGAGGGAAATGTCTCACTGGTTAGGTTTGTCCGCGGTCTCGTAGTTTTGATAACGTAATTAAAGCCTAGATCAGTGCAGGTTTGTCCGCGGTCTCGTAGTTTTGGTAACGTAATTAAAGCCTAGATCAGTGCAGGTTTGTGCGCGGTCTCGTAATTTTGTTACCATAAATTGTAGATCAGTGCAGGTTTGTAGGCGGTTGTGGAGGAGTAAGAATACAAAATACATGTATCGATCGCTTAAAAAAATTAATAAATAAAAGCTCTCGGTGCACGATTCAGTATGTACCCCAAGCACTTTTTCGGGTGCCCTGCATTGTTATATAGTTGCAGTTACTGAATTGATGACAATTAGTACTTCAAGTTAAAAAAACTAACTAATTATTTATATTTGAAGCCAGGATGTTTAAAAAAGTCAAACACTTGTTGATGAAACACTTACGTTTCGTAGTGTAAACGTCTAAATTAGCCATAATGATGTTAGGACGAGAAGTCAACTGGGGTGTTGTTTTTCCGTTCTAGTTCCCCGAAACTGTAGAATATATTACATAGAAACCTCTGCCATTGTTTCAGATATTTTATTGAATACATAATCATTGTACGACTATACTGCCGTAAGCTGATAAAAATGTCTTTTATTTCATTTTGGCACCAATTTATTTTTTGTTTGCTAAATCGAAAGCCTGGTCAGTTACCCTTCTTGTGAGAAAAATCAAAAGTGAAACTGTGACTACTTTTAGAATAATTAGAATTCAAATTTCGGAATCACTCTATTTTTAAATAGTTACGCTGATTTTAAAAACTAACCCTTTTCCTCGAGACTGCTCAGTGAGGAAAAAAAGGCGTTTTGTCAAATAGATTTAAAACAAATAACTGTGCTTTTCTCTTTCAGGTTCAGCTTTTGGCTCCAGGAATGTTTCACATGATAACCGCTTACGTGGAGCAGGAACGGAGGGAGTTTTTATGCAAACGTATTCAGGAGGAAGAGTACCTTGTGGTAAGCTATGCCAGAGCACAAAATAGTAGAGACATTTACGTTATCAGCGTTCTGTCCTTTTATGTCATTTTCGGTTAGAACAGACTGCCGAATTACCACTTCAGTCAGACAGGATTTCAAGACAGGCATTTTACTCACTTTCCTAACAAACGAGTCTGCGTCCTTTGTTTAGCCCTGTTGATCTTACAACGGACTTCATGGGCACTTTTATGAACATAAACCCCCTACCAATTTAAAAAGAAAAGATTTTTCTCATGAATGGTTGGAAAGTTTTACCCTATTCCTTTTTTTTCTGACTGGTGCATTGTAATTACATGGTCCTTCTTCTAGCTCGTAATAAGAAAATTTGCTCCTCCATAACTTAAATACATGTATACACGTAGAAAACAGATAGGTAGTCAGTGCCCATTAAGGTTGAATGTTTGTAGTTTGGAGAAGATTGGGAGATCGATGAGGAGGGGTTATAACGCAGGGTTTCCAGTTTGTCGGAAAATTATAATTTCATGACGGGCAGAGAGTACGCTGAATGTTCTTTCCCGTATTGTTTTCTCATTTGCAATCTTTTACTTCTTTCACAAGAAATGTAATACGTATTGAAAGCAAATTCAAGCTCTGACAACCTACTCCATGATTCTTTTTGTCTTCTTTCTTACAGGTTAAGATATTATGCAAGGTCTGTAACATCGAGTTCCTGGAACTCTACCCTGACAAACTTCAGATTATTCTCGCAAAGACATGGTTTGTACAAAATTTTACGTTCTTCTTTACGAGATTGCTTTAAATAGTTTGAAGCCAGTTTGAACCACTCCTGCATGCCTCCCCCCCCCCCCTCCACACACACACACACACACACCACACACACAAACTCAGCGGATTGTTGGAGAGTGCCTGTGGTAGACCATACTTCTTTACTTTCCCTCTCTGTTGTTTCTGTCTGTCTGCCTTACTGCTTTCCAGCACTGAATGACCATTATCAAGCCGATGTCTTCCCCTTTACTCAAACTTACAAACAATCAAACCAAACGCTTACACACAAAGCAAGGTAGTTTGTAACCATACCCTGAAGCTTCTTTTCACATTTTACGCAAGAAGTGCCGTATTCTTTCTCACAGCCAGAAATCAGTGTTTAGGCTACAACTGAACATCCTTTGTAAAGAGAAGAAATATATGTATATAAACATAGATAGATAGATAGATAGATAGATAGATAGATAGATAGATAGATAGATAGATA